ACTGAACTACTATTGTGCACAGCACAAATGACCAGCGTACACCATTTGAGGCTGGATAATGTCGGTATTGGGATTACCACATGATGCCATTCAGGCTTCTTAGCTTTGGAATTAGTGCTTCAGTCCCCAGGCCCTACTCTCGATGTAAAGGAAGGTTGCTGGAACATAACGTTACTGTCTGCCAAGAGCAACAAACAGGAGGTATCTGCAGAAGTGAGGAGTAGTATCCAGTTTCAAGACTAGTGGCAAGAACTGCAGAAAGGCAGCTCAGTGAGTAGGTCAAAACTTTCCTTAATCAAGCAGTTTGATAACCTTGGTTAAAATTGAAATCTTCATATGCCAGAAAGCACTGGATAAACTCCGATTAAAAGCTTTCTTTCCTGAGAAGATCAGCTCTTTTGAGAAATGAATGTGTAATTTTAGAGAAAATAGTAGCTCTAAGAAATGAGGTAATAGTTTAGGGATTTTATTGTCCCACCTCCTGAGGGCTACGTGGGAGGTGAAATCCTTGCCCTTCAGAAGTTTGCTCTAGGAAGTTACATACAGCATTGGAGCATGGCTGTTTAAGCAAGCTGCCTGCCTTGTTAGAGATGTGTGAGTCTTAATGAGAATTTTAGTCTAACGCGAATACAGAAGGGTGCGTGCAATGCTGACTGAAATTTGCTGAATTCTGTCTGTAGTAGATGTCTTACATTAAATGCACAGCATTCCGAAAATAAGTACCCCTAGGATGCAAATAACTTTTACTGCAATGAACACAACTCAAAATAGACCCTTGACTTGGCAGCCTCGTAACATTAAGGTAGTGGTGGAACATGCTGGTGATGTCGCCACTTCTGTCAGTTCAGCAGACACGGCTGGGGGCAGCCGCCCACGGCGTCCTCACGGCTTTGGCACAGCAAGGCCAGGCGCTCCTGGCTAGCTCGTGTTCCGCCACCGCTTCACCCTGTGCTTATGCTGACCCTCTCTTACTCTGCTCAGCTGGGTCGTTGATTTCCAATGGTTCGTTTTATTACGAGCAATTCTTACTCTGGTTTTTGAAGGCTTTTACAATTTACTTGCTTTAAAGTTTTTGCTCTTACGCACAGTAGGAATTTAAACTTAGAAAGTATCTTAAACGTGGCGCTGAAATAATTCACCTCCTCAAGAGTTCGACTCTACAAAGGAAGGTGGAATCTCCAGCTTCCGAGTTCCTTGAAGTTATTTCTCGTACTTCTTAGTAGAGGAAATGGCTTTCAAATGAGAATGGCTCCTGCCTTTTTTATAACTTCGTAACCTGCCATTGAGCAAGGTTTCTCATTTGCCACAGCAGTCAGTTAACTATTGCTTAGAAATTTCTCCACAGATAAACTCAGGTTTTCTATTATAGAATGTACCAACTGTTTTCTGGTAAGCTGAGGCATTCTATAGAAACTGCTATTTAGATGTATGCTCATTCATTATACAGTGTTTGAGTTGACTACCTGTGTTACCAGTGACGTGCCAGCGTCCCAGTGATAACTTCCATCTGATGCGGACGACTTCACACACAATGCAGAAACTGCAGTTGGGTTTGTAATTGCATTTAGAGTTTTTGCACTGAATGGAGAGCCTTCCCCAAACACTCAATGGATATTTGATGCGTTTTCGTACAGTGATTACTTAACTTCTGTGGATGTTTCATTCTTTGTTAGCTGTCTGCCAGTGTTACCAATATCTTAGTGTTGACATCCATTTTGTTTGTTTTCTCAACTAAACAGAGGATTTAATTTTTAAATTTTTTTGTACAGTGTTCCCTCTCCTCTAGTGAATTCATGACTGTGAACTAGAGAAAGATAACTGAGGCAAATAATTAAAGACATTTCCTGCTGGTCTGTTCTGAGACTTAAAGTTTAGGTGTGACAGCTATTTGAAGCATGCCCAAGCATGTTTTCTTTTTAACAAATGTCTGCCTGCTGCCTTCTTAGTTTCACTTTCAAAAATGCTGTCTGTATTTCGAAAGATCTTTTACTAGATAAACGAGCTCTGTTTGTATGTTTGTTTTTTACATAATTAAAATAATGGATTAAGTAATAAGCACACTTCAAAAGTTAGGAAACGGTTAAATTGCTTATCAAATTTTAACAGAATGGAGAGTTATAGAATGTTTTCCCCCTGTTAATCATTGTCATGACTACTTGCAAGAAGAGCAGGTACAACTTTTTCAGCCTCCTGGACCCATTAAAGTATCTGGAAACATTTTCCATTCCTTAATATGCTAACTATAGAGGTGGGCTAAACAGGTTTCTTAATATATTAACTTGCTAAGTAATACAAATACTTAATACTCTTATTATTGAGTTATTATTTACAGTTTCTAAATGTTTTCATTTTTACCCTTGATAAGGAAAGAATCCAAGACTTTAAGTAGGTAGTCCATGTACGTCGCTTTTCATAAGATGAAGAATATGTAGTTCTAAAATTGCTTGCCCACGGTGAAGTAGAGGTATTGTATAGAAAATTGGCAATAGCAAGCCTGTCAGGTTCAATTCATGTGCATTTTCTTCTCATCAGTACTCAATTCACTTCAGCTTTTCAAAATGTTACTGTATGTATGGCTTAAACTGAAGTCACCAGTAATTCCTGGTTGTATGGTGATGTCTTTATATACGGTGTAGACAACCAACCCCCCCCATTTCTTAATTTATGAGGTTATAGAAGTAGCTATAATTGAATTAAATTTCATTATTTATTTACTTTGTTTCATTAAACATATTGTAGTTTTATTTTATTACGCTAGCGAGCTATGGAGAGCCCTCACAACTGCATTATCGTCTTTCTTAGATGGTTGTGACCTAAAGATGATTAATTATATGTAGCCACATCATAAAAGAAGGTGACTTACATTCCTTGCTTGTCCGTGGTTCCTGGGCTTATGTTAAATCCAGGGTAGTTCTGTGGTTTACAGCAGCACCAAACTTGAGGGACATACATGAAGTGTAGAAAGTTCTTAGACTTGATGCTCAACACCTGAATTAAATATCTTTTCTGTGATTGTTTTTTCTTGGATGTAAACAGAGGAAATGCTTAAATGCGAGAACAAACAAAATAGAGACTTATGACAATTGCACAGAAATGTAGGTTACAGTTTCCTACCAGTGAGCAGTATCTTGCTTACAGGTGGTTTTGGGTAGAGAAATCATACTCCAGTGGCAAATGAGCAAATGTGTGATTGGAATTCTATATAATACAACTGCAATTAGTAGAAAACTAATTGTTTGGCTTTTTGAGATGCATAAGAACTAAAAATAAGAGTTGGGTTGTTTTGGGGGTTATTTTTTGGTCTTGTCCAACTGCTGACACTTTTTAGGAACAGCATTTACCAGAAAATAAAAGCTTAGGTGCATTTATCTTCTATAACTTTAAATTTAAAAAACCTCCTCTGTCTCAATGTTTTACTCTAACAAAGGAATTACGTGCAAGAAAGACTTACCTTAATGAATACTAGGTCTTAGTTTGCAAAATTTTCAAGCCTTTGCTTTTTCCCTTTCTACTCAGCCAAATGCTATTTACTACTTGGGAGGAAAGCGTAGGGCCACTAGGTGTCATTGTGTACTGAGTACGGGGAATAAAATCACTCTGGCAAAAAATTCTAATAGCTGCCTTAGCTAATGTTCAGGAGTACCTGACCTTCAAGTTTCTTAAATGGTTACAGGTGTGATTTACAGGGCTTGCCCAGAAACCCTGCCCTTTGTTGACTTCTGTGACTGTCCCTTGTGGGTCTCCAGCAGGCTCATGAACCACCCCCCCTCTGCATGTTCTTGCAAAATTCTGCAGTTTTGTAGGGACTTAGCTGTCAGCTCAAGCTCAACAAGCAGCCAACAATGACAACTAAATTCGTAGCTGTGTCTTCACTCTGTGGATATACGCTTGGGCTTTTTTTTACATACCTATCTTGGATACTGGCATATAAATTTTATTTGGTTTTGTTTTCAAATCTTGCCAGTTCTAAAACTAAATTAAAACCTTTAATCCCATTTTTTATTTCATGTGTTTAAAAATGGCTCACAAAGGCCGATACTGGTACTCTGCACTATTGGCTACCTGTTTTACAAATAAAATGCCTTTTGTTATGCACGTAACTATCCAGGTTTTTGAAAGGTGAATACAGTGCTCTCTATTTAATTTTTGCAGCAGCTATCACACCTATTCTTGCTCCAGATGCCATTTCAATATGTGTATATTGAGTTTCATGTCTTCACCTTGTGATACATGACCCTGTCATTTACAAAATAGGCTGGATTTTGAAACATTTCCTGCTACTCTGTCCCAAACGTAAAGTGATGATAGTAGATCTTTTGTTAGTTAATGATAGCATGAGTAAAATAAAGTCATTGCCTCAGTTTAATCTTTTCTAATTCTTATTTTTTTAAAAAATCAAATTCTTGTTACTATTCACCTTAATTTCAAGTTAATGCTGTACACAAAGGAAAATTAAATGAAGGAAGCCTAACACTTAAAGAACATTTTACTTTTTCCAACAAGGAATTCTCGGTTACATGAATTACAAGTTCAGTTCATCCACTGGACATGATTTTATGCACCGTCTGTTTTCTAAAGAGAACCCTTCAGGGACTTCAATTCTGATTAAGCTACCTAAAGAATATTGGGTGCTACATGAGAGGGCATGCTTTATTCTCTTCTTTTTTAGGTTGGGGAAATTAATTTTGAATCTTCAGAGAAATTAAGCAATGTTTAGACCTGAATGTTGGCTTCAGAAAAGATGCTGCTTTTTTGCGCACGCTCCTTGGGGGAAATTTCTATTCATTTTGATCTTTGTTTTCCCAAATATATTGCTACTCTGAATAGCCAGTGTTTGATTACTGCATTATTTTTTTATAATGCTAGAATATGGTCACATACCTGCATTCCAGAGATGTTTGTATTGTTTCAGAATACTCTTTCCCCCAGCAGGGAGGCGGGGGGCGGGAAAAAAAAAAAAAAGAAAAAAGAAAGAAAACATCAAACTTTTCTTTTCTAAGGGGGAAGTTGAACAAATCTCAATGATGAAACCGAAAGGCCAGACTGAACACGATGAAGGCATGCTTGAGTATTTAGAAGACTTAATAGGATCTGCACGACTAAAAGATCCTATCAAATCTCTGTGTCGCAGAGTAGAGCTTTTAAATGAACTAAGAGGAGAAAAGGTGAGTCTCAGTTTTGTTTGAATGATAAATAAAATTTATAAGCTTGCAGTGTTTCATTATTTGATTTTTTTAGAAAAATTGTTAACATAAAGTCTTGGTTAAAATTTGGCACTTGTCTACAGAAGTACAGAGAAATTTTGAGTTGCCTTTATTGCATCTGCTGTTTCTTCCGATTCTAAAAGAAATGGGCACCAAGGTCAGTTGCCCTTTTTTAAACGCTTAGAATGCTATCAGCTTTTGATTCTCAAAGGTTTGAATTCTTGAGTTGGAACACAGGATTTTACCTGCTGAACACTCTTTGATCATATCTGCATGCGTTAAATGCTTCTCAGACTGGATAGAGAACCGGATTCTCAGTATCTGAATATATCCAGGTAGGGTTTTTTATCTGCCTGACTCCTATTGCTAAATAGCAAAGAGGAGAAGTAGCAGGGAAACCTTTCACATGCTAAGAAAAGGGAGAGAGGAAGAGGGAGGCAGAGCATTGGTCAGTTGATGCGCACACAGCTGTATGAGGATGCTTAAAAATACAGAAAATTAATTGTGACTCGAGGTATGTTGATCTGTTGCAGAACTTGCTTTCACCACATTTTATTTATGCATTGAGTTCTAAAAGTACTAAATAATATCAGAGTTCGTTTTACTTGATGTGTCCTTGCTAAATCCTGTTATGTTGCAGACTTTTTTTTAAAGGCTGGGAAGGAAAACAAAGGAGATGGTTGCAGGAATTAACTTAAAAAGGGGGTAATAAAAAGGCTGAGATATCAAAAATAACATACACGGACTGTCCATGTGTAACTCCTCTTTGTTTCACCTACATCTTCCTTGATTTGCCTGAGGTGTTCCTAGCATCTGTAGGATCCCTTTTTACTGTTGATTTGCTCTAGAAGGACAGTCTGCACTGCAGAAATGGTGATCTGTTCTTTCAGAAAGCTTGTAGCGCTGAATTGCCTCGCAGAGTTAATTGCTGAAGACCATCTCCCCAGGGGACACATGTCCTATGTAGGGTCTGGGGTTTTCCTCCTCATGGCTTTTTCTTCTGTAGCACTAACAGTAAAGTCATCTCTGACTCTGTCTTGTCTAGTTAAATAGAGTTAAAATGGTGGAAAAAGAAAAGGATGCCTTGGAACCGGACAAGAATAAAGCCATTGAATTTCTTTGTTTGGAAAACAAAATTTTTAAAGAAAAGAATTATATATCTCAATACTATATGTAAGTAATTCTCTAAAGTTTTGATTTGGCTTTAATGTGGTAGTGGTGATGACGAACTCTGTTTCTGTATCTCTCTTTAGAAATATTTTGCATTTTGAAGTCTTATCGGTCCTTCAAAATTAGTTGAATGGCATGTGGCTAGCGATTTTTGTTTCAAATTCTGAAGTTAAAATAGAGACCATTTCACGAAAAAAAAAAAAATAAAAAAAACCAAACCCAACACCACCCCCCCACTCCCAAAACACACCACCAACAAAAAAAACCAACCCAAAAACCTGCTTGCCAGCTCTTTACAATGTGAATTAGTCTGGCAAATTAGTATTTTACAGCTTTATACTTAAATTTAGAAAGCAGATCACGTAAAGACTATTTTCATCTGAAGTGTCTAAATTTAGCTTTTCTTGCTGTTCTGTAGTAAATTGTTATGGTTACTCAGTAATTAACATTAGGGTTTAATACTTTTCATCATCACTTTGTTACACTTAAGATTGGAAATATATATTCATTATGAATGTTAGCTTTATGAAAAAAAAGTGGAGTTTTGGGTTTTGTGTGGTGCTTTTTTTTTTTTTCCTAGCTATGACCTAAAGAAACGAATAAATGATATTGAAATGCAGAAAGAAAAAGTTAATGAAGGAAAACAAGGTATTAATCAGAAGAGTAGAGAACTTGCAGATGAAATGAAAACCAAGAATAATGCTTTGAAAGAACTTGAAAAGTAAGTACTTCAGATATAGATTCGTAAGCTTAAGAGTGCTGTGTTTTCTATGTTCTGCATGTGTGGTGTTAGAATTAGCAGGATTTTCAGAGAAAGCTGTGATAGTTGTATTGCAGGGATGGGGGCGGGGGGAAATACCCGAGAAGGCAGAAGTATACATTAGTTGCATGGGAAGATGCTCAAACACAGGCAGCACAGCTGGGTTTTTCAGTAGTTCTTCCACTAAAAACTAAAATTATCTGATGAGCAGAGTCACTTATGGTATATCCGAACATTGCCTGGCATGGATCTTTCACACAAAAATAAATTTTAAAAATTGGCTTGATTTGGTTCTGCAGGTTGCTTCTCTTGGAGAAATCTGGGTTAATACTCACAACGACAATAAGAAAAGGTCTGATTTTTGATGGCTTTTTAAAGCACATACTTTTTTATATTGACTACAAAAAAAAATTGGAGATTATTTCAGGTTTTTAGATATACAACCATGATGCTTAGGTACATGGAGGTTATGTGTTTTTCTCTGGTTTCCTTACGAATCTCTTATGCATAAATCGTGTTTTCCTAAAATTGATTTGTCTGGGTGCTAGTCTCCAGTCCAGCTGCAAGAGTAACCTTCTCATCCTCTGAGATTATAGTAAGTTATTTGTGAGAGATGTGAATTATAAAGTCTATCAAAGAAAAAATAAAATTTCTGAAGATGTATTTAATATTGCTGTTAGTTGACCATTTTCTGATGAAACTTCACTCCCCTGGGGGAAGATACTGTGAATATGGTAAGTATTGGATGTTGCTTTTCACAAAAACTGAATAATATTGGTTTAAATTCTATATGCTTACTTATTAAGCTAAGCCCTACTGACATTTTTTTAATAGGGTGTGGTGTAGATCTTTCTTTCTTTTTTTCCTTTTAGGAAACTGGATAAAATTACAAAGTTCATAGAGGAAAATAAAGAAAAATTTACTCAGTTGGATTTGCAGGATGTTAAACTGAGGGAAAAACTAAAACATGCCAAAAGCAAGGCGAAAAAACTGGGAAAGCAACTTGAAAAGGACAAAGAAAAGGTAGTGTGAACTGCAACTTGATTTACTTAAAGAAGTGTAATTGGTTGCTCTAGATGAGGATATCTGTGCAGCTGGGATAAAGTAGCAAAGGACACCAACTGTACTTTGTGTAAAAAAGATGGAAAAATGTATTTTACCTTTTTTTAATCAGATCTTTTATGTCATTTAAATCACCTAGGGGTTTTGTTTGCAAATCATTTGCTGAAGTAATGCATTATTCTCCATTAAGCCATTGCTCATTGCACATCTTGCTATGGGAGACTGTGGCCAGCAGTCCCAGGCTGTTTCCTGCCTAAAGGCAAAGTCAGAAGCTTTTCTGTTGCTTCTCAGCTCTGTTGGGAGGTCTCAGGGCTTGCAAAGAATCTTTTTATCGAGTTTGAGATTACGGGAACATTGCATGTCCTCACAGTTCCTGCATTTTCAAAATGCGGGTTTTTTTCCTGTTCCCCTAGTTAATTTAGTTAATTTAATGGATACATTTTAGCAAGTTGGTTGTTGCCAGCTCATATAGATCTTAAATCACTCTTTGGATCAAGAGTGGCCTTTTGAAAGTAGGCATTTAAGAATTAAGCCTTATTGTGATTCAAAGACTTGTTATTATGCGTAGAGGTGTGCTCCTACTGCTGCGGCTTGCTTCTCTCTGGATAGGCTCTAGAGTCTTGCAAATAAAATCCAGGCCTCCTGCTAGAGCCACGGTGTATCTTACTCTGTGAAAACATGTGAGCTTCACTGGTCTTACGCTTCCCTTGACTTCCACATAGCCCTTGAAAGGCAGGGTGTAAAGATAAAGCAAAACTGTTTTCTTTCAGTGGGAGAGGAAGTGAAAAGTGTTTTTCTTGCGTAGGTAGAAGAATTGAAAAAGGTACCTTCCAGCAGTGAAACAGTTATCAGCGAGGCCACATCTAAGAAAGAGCTTCTTGAAAAGGCAAAAGAGAAAGAAGAAAAAAAACTCCAACAGGTTTTGAATAGCCTTAAGGAAGAAACAAAAGAAATTCAGGAAGAGAAAGAGGTTTGAACTGTTTTGACTTAGTACACTTGATGTATGAACTGATGTATAGCTTTTACAGTTATGAATGAAATGATCACAAGGTAGTTGTAAAATGCTATTTCATATGACAAATACACTCTTTCATGTGTTAGTTCAATGGAGCTGAACTGGGAAAGCAATTTTGAGTTTTCAGTCAGGGCTAAATCATTCTCATTAAGTTGTCTGCTTTTTATAGTGATCACTTGTCATCAAGAATAGCATTCATATATGTATATTAAATAATTCTACACTTCCGTTATTTGAACACACTTTCATTTTCTTCCATCAGTGTTTTAGCCAGTATGTTACTTAAATAAACAGATTTTGAAATGGTCTGTTTCGAGCCTTTCACACAGCTGTGATCTGTCTTTGAACTAATAGACAACGACTATAACAGTTTGTCGTTGTTGTTGATATTAGCTGTTCAATCACGAAACGCCCAGAGGCTAGAAATTTATCCTGTAAATTTGGGGTATTATTTTCTGTACTTGCAAACATGGTTTCTCCATTTAATCTGTAATTTCGCACAATGTGTAGGGCTCCTCCCAGTTTTAGGTTGAGAAAATGATACAAAGCTTGTATGGAAATGTTCTATAGTAATTCCCTGATGTTCTTTATAATTATAAAAAATACCTGATTTACTTGCCTTGCAGAGCATGTTAATAAATTAAGGAATACTTGTTGTACTAAATGTAACTGGTTTCTGCTGACAGGAGAGCTAGTAAAAGAACATGCCCATTTCCTCTTTTTCATATAGTGTGATTGATGTAATAAATCCCACAGTTGTCTGGTTTTAGTTGTAACATTGTCCTTTTTTTTTTTCAGGGCAGAGAGAAAGACCTTATGGAGCTTAGTAAAGCAGTGAATGAAGCACGTTCCAAGATGGATGTAGCCCAGTCAGAGCTTGATATCTATCTCATCAGTTACAACACCGCTGTGTCTCAGTTAAATGAGGCAAAGGAGGCTCTGAGGACTTCTTCAGAAACCCTTAAGGAAAGGAAAGCTGCTATCAAAGATATAGATAAAAAACTCCCTCAAGCTGAACAGGAATTGAAGAAGGTGAGACTTGACTTTCATATATAATTTCTTTGAGTTACAACAGAATGTTGCAACACAGAAACCAAAGTTCCATGCTTCTTTTTAGCAATAATGGTGAGAATAAAAACTATCTCCACTAAAATAACATTTAAAAGCTATATTCTAATACTCAGTTAACCAGTGAAGTATTTGATTTTAAACTTCTTTTGCGTTAGGCAGATGCTAACGTTAAGCTCTGAAATTAAATCCTAAACAACCCTGCAAAGGAATCGGCTTAAATACCAGAATGAGACATGCCTAAAATAAATAAATGGCTATGTTTCTGAGCCTTCTCTGAATTTTGCTTCTTTCTCCTCTCTCATTCCCTAAAGGAAAAAAAAAAAAAAAACAAAACACACTACCTTGTGGGTTTCATGATTCATCAATTCATAAACTGTCCCACTTGCATCAAAGTGTACTAAATGCTAGCTGAAGTGTATCTAAATACCAGCCATTCTTCTGATAAATGTTTGCCACTTCTGCTTTTCAGTGGCTGGTTTCGTTGCCTACACAATCACGAATCTAAGACTCCCTGAATACATTAGTTTCTGTGAGGCTAAGAGAATGTCTTTCTTTTAACCATTAGAAAGAGAATGAGCTTGAGAAGCTGGAAAAAGAAGAATCAGGTGCTAAGAATCTTGTTCGAGATCTGCGTCAAAAAGTAGAAGAAGCCAAAAGTTCTTTAGCACAAAGTCTCAGCCGAGGCAGAGTGCTTGAGGCTCTGCTTCAGCAGAAGAAATCTGGAAATATTCGTGGGCTATATGGAAGACTGGTAAATTTTAAAATGCTGTTATACTTTTAGTCTTAACCTTTACAGGCACAGGGTGGTGTTTCTGTAATCGAGCAAAAGGTGGAATTCCTCACTTCTCTGGTGCTGTGACTTTGGACAGCAGAGTTGCAAATCCTGCAGACTTGCTACAAATTAAAGAAAGAGGATCGTTGAGGTTCCTCTGCTCAGCACTAAGTAAAGGCAATGGCTTTGAGAAAGCTTTATATTTTTGATAGGCTGATCTTTAAACTAAGTCACTTAGCTGCAGTCTCTGTAGGAATATTCTCAAGCCAAGAATACTAACAATGTCTTGCAAACCTATCCATAAAAAAACATCTTACAGCTTGTATATAACTTAATGTGGAACTGTACACATTTTTTTTGTTTGTTTGTTTGGAACTTTATAAAATTTGGTGATCTCTTTGCTGTTTGTTTCCTCTCATTTTACTTGCATATATGTCAAATCAAAAAGAGCAATATTGTTTCAGAAGACCGAGGAAAACCATGTCATAGCAAAACATTGAGTGTTATCAGTTTTTTTCCAACCAGTGCTGCTTTAAGTTCTAAAAATTTGTGGCTGAGGAAGAGTTCTTCATTCCTATATTTCTACTAGCACTGAACAATACATGTGTATCAGTGTAAATGTAAAAGTGCTCTTTTTGTATTCTGCAATTTTTCTTTTTTCACCACCTGCTCACCCAAGGAGAAGTACCTCTGCTTTGGAAAAAACAGTTTATTTAGTACACATATATTTTTAGAAATGTGTGTATAGATTTGTTTAAAAAGGATGAAGCTCAAACAGCAGCAGACCACTGTCTAGTACAGCTGGCATGTATTTTGTCTCATGCCTCTGTTACCACTTCCCACAGAGGAGTGTGAGGTTAATCTGTTCTGGGATAACTCACAGTTAGCTGGGCACGCTGCTTTTATCTGCAGATACCCAAGAATTTTCCAAGGATGATGAATACTCCTGTACCCACTTTTCAGATCAGTACAGGGCAGCCCACAGCTGTGTAGGACTTGCCGGGTCCTGCCCAGCTGGCTGGGGGTAGAACCATACACAGGGCGCATGAAATGATTTTGTTAGGCCAAAGTACCTCACTAAAATGCCGGCATGTAAAATTGTAACATTTGTCTACAGAAAATAAATCAATGCTACCACGTTGCTCTACCAAAAGCACCGCTTTTGAAGCTTTGAGTGTATGAATTTCTACTATGGGAGCAAGTACATTAGAAATACATAAATAGCAGTGTGCAGGAGAAGCCGCGTGTGGTATTATTTTATGAATTCTAATTAAGGTTTAAGTTCTTTCACAGAAAATTATTTCGTAATTTGTTTTCATCTCATTTCACTTTGTGTGAAGTTTTTGTCATTTATTTCTTAATACCAAGAGAAAACATCGATGCCAAACTAATTGGTGTACTTCTGCCTCCCCCTTGACCCTCAATTATTAGGGAGACTTGGGAGCTATCGATGAGAAGTATGATGTTGCTATTTCATCCTCTTGCGGTGCCTTAGACAACATTGTTGTTGATACAATTGATACTGCACAGGCATGTGTGAATTTCTTAAAGGCAAAAGGAATTGGAGTTGCTACATTTATAGCCTTGGACAAAGTAAGTACTAGCACATCAGCACAAACTTGTTGATTTACCCTAATGTGCACAGTATTAATACTGTAGATGAATAATGTATTAATATGCATGTGTATAAATATGTATTATGTATTAATATATCACGCTGTACATGTATTAATAAAGGTAAAGCTAAAATAGGAAACTTTTTAGTAGGCTGTCGGTACCGTAGAATATTCTACTAGTGAATGGTAACTTTTACTTAGAGAATTACAAGGTTTTTTTAAATACTTGTATGTGTATGACAAATGTTTGGTGTGTCTTTTATATTTTTATATTTAATTTTTTTCTTTTAAACAAAATAACAAACTTAATAATCCAAGTAATATAGTAGCTGTAAGCTAGGAAAATGATGAAAGAGAGCAGTGAGTTATTGGTGAGGTTTTAATTATACTGGAAGTGAGCAGAGATCCCCAAGGAAAGAAGCTTTACTCTTAATTGTGGTACGATTGCATCTGCTTTAAAGCCTTAACATCTCTTAGAATAATGAAATGACCTCGCAGTTTTATCCTAAAGAATCTCTCATTCATTTACTTTTTTTGATGTAGATGACTGTATGGGAAAAAAAAATGCAAAAAATCCCAACTCCTGAAAATATTCCTCGGTTGTTTGATCTGGTGAGAGTGGGAGACGAGAAGATTCGCCTGGCCTTTTACTTTGCATTACGTGATACTCTAGTAGCTGATAACTTGGAAGAAGCTATCAGAGTAGCATTCCAAAAGGATAAAAGGTGGAGGGTGGTGACACTGCAAGGACAAATCATTGAACAGTCAGGTATTGAAGTGCAAACTTATCTTTTCAGCACTTTACAGATGGTATCTAAGCACAACTAGCTCGTTAACTGCTTTTCATTTCAACTCTTTAGGAACAATGACCGGTGGTGGGGGTAAAATAATGAAGGGCAGAATTGGATCCGCAGTCGTAATGGATGTTTCAGAAGAAGAGGTTGGTACATAATCTTAATTAAAAGTGAAATTTCGTCAAAGTTCCTTATGTTTTGGCAGTTCATACACACGTGTGCCTATGTCCTGTGAAATCAGCGTGAGTAGTTAACAAGCTGTCACGCGAGATAAGTTAACAACAATTTCTAGTTCACAAGGTTAGCATGGGTTGTGTTGCTCTGAAGTGCACTTGTTCACAGCCTGGCTATCCTATGCCTAGTATTTAATTTTTAGTCTCCTAGTGCTGCCTTCGAAACTAATCGAGGGCAGGGATGAGAACACGGACGGTGCTGATCGTAAGGACCCGCTGAGCTGCGGGGCAGTACCCACAAACCTCAACAGCAAGAGGAGACAGGTTTGGTCCTTCGTTTGATGCCCATGTAGGATTTGTCAGGGAGTAGCAGAGCTTTTTCCTTCCAGTTTGTATTTCAGGAATGTTTTGGAACATCGAGATACGGCTTGCTTTTTCTCCTGAATTCTTTTAGGTTTTAGTCTGTGGTTTTATTTAGTGCGGATGTAGCCTGTGTCCCTTTTTTCTAGTATCTGCTGCTCAACTTAACCGAGAACGAGCAGCAAAGTGTTAACACCTCTTCAAGAAGACGAGCTCCCCTGTGTCACTGTCAAGTAAACCATGGCTTCTGACATCAGCCCTCTTCCTACAGGAGAATGAACTTTTGCTCTTCAGGAATGAGAGCTGTAAGCCAACACAAGCGTTGAATGTTTGCTTACCACTAAGGACACAGAAACAGTAGTTAGTATTTCTTAGGTGAAAATATTTTCAAATTGGAGAAATTCAAAATCAAACTAAACGTTAAGGTTCTCTCTGTCTGATTTCTCTGCTGGAGGAGATAACCGTGTCACCACCTTTGCTGTCATTGCTGATGTTTCTGCACTTTTGGGGTTTATCCCTGAGGGGTTAAAATGTATATCTGTTCTTCTCTCATTTTTCTTCTGTGTTTTCACCTTCAGTTGGCTTGGAAAACAGGATTGCACTGGCCAAGAAAAAAAAATTCTGCAAACCCTGGAGAGTTTGACATACAACTCTTTTTTTTTTGTCAAGCCTGTTCAGATAATGGTGTACTTTGTAGAGAACTAACGAACTAACCTTGTGGACAAAGTGTTATTGCCCTAGCCTTGTAAAGAGTCAATAAATATAGAAGGCAGCTCATATTTACATCTTGCTAATTAAAGGACTTTGCTATTTCCTGTCTTCACACTTCAGATTTATTCATTGTGAGACAGGCTTATGTACTGTTTTCTGTTTGGCCCATGAGAGATACAGTGGTACTCAATATTAAGATCAGTAGCTGTAACTTAATTTCTCCATTTTGAGGAGGTTTGGCTCTGTGCCTCTGTAGCACACTGGGCAGCTTGAGGTAGAACAAGTACATTCATATCTGTGCCTCTTAGTTCTCTAGATGTAAAGACAGAAAATGGGCTGAGATCTGAAATGTATCCCTCTTCCTTCTGCTCTTGAAGGTGGATTGCAAGACCTGGTCACTTGACCAGTTACTGCCTGGAGCAGCTCGTCTTCTAACACCAGATTACCACAGAAAACAACAAACATCAAATCTTAACTATAGTTAAAATTGCTTCTGGCTTCTGCGGTTTTTGGTTACTGCCTTCGCTACTCTGACTCAAGCTTTTCAAGCTTAATCCAGTTTTTATTTTCTTAAAACCATTCTCCATTTTAAGCTATTTTGACAGGGATTCTTCAGCTTATTTTTCCTTACGCTTGCTCCTCTTGTTTTTCACTATTGTAATTGATCTTCTCAGCAGTCAGACTCCATATTCTGTCCAGCTACAGCAAATTTTCAAGTTTTTACTCCACTTTCTTCTTATGTTTTAAGAGGCTGTCAAGCACGTGAATAAGATCTTGCTTTGTTTTGTAGTGGCGACACCAGGCAAATGATCTTATCTCATTTTTGTGTAGGTCAATAAAATGGAATCTCAGCTACAGAAGGACTCTAAAAGAGCAGCGCAGTATGAAGAAGAGAAATTACGACTTGGAGAAGCCATAAGAAAACTGCACCACGACGTTCGGGAAATGAGGAATACTTTAGAGAAATATACAGCGAGCATCCAGGTGAACATGCGCGTTATCGAGGCAGTCGCTGGCTTCTCCCTGAGTGTGCAGGGGGATAACTTCTCAGTCCTTGTTAGAGGCAAAGATCTTTTTAAATTACAGGATTCTAACACAGTTGTGCTTTCTGTAGAGTTTATCTGAACAAGAAGCTCATCTAAAAACCCGAGTTAAGGAACTTGAAGCTAATGTAATTGCTGCTGCTCCGGACAAAAACAAACAGAAGGAGTTGGAAAAAAACCTCAATACTTACAAAAAAGGTACACGTTGTGGAGAGGGGGTTAGAGATAAAAATTGTACTCACGTTCTGTGACTAATACAGGAATGAATGGTTCCGGCTTTGTTATTTCAGATTACCTGTGGGTACCATATGTTGGTTTGGAACCCCTTTTTTTTCTAAGGGCACAGGGATAAAAGGTGCTTGGCAAGATTAGAGTGAAAATCTGTTGTTATTTTGGTTTGTTAGTTTTGTTGGGGTTTTTTGTTGTTTTTTTTTGGGGGGCGGTTGGTTTGGTTTTTTTTTTTTTTTGTTGGTTGGTTTGTTTTTGGTTTTTTTTTTTTTTTTGCAACTGCTTAAGTTCACGTTTCAGTCAAGCTAAAGTAAACATTACTTTTAGTATTTTTTTTGTTTGTTAGATTTTTACAACTATTACATAGGGAAACTTAGTTTAATTAGCGGTAAAAATTGTTAATGTGGAGGTAATGATATTAAATTCCAGTAAAGGCTTTTGCTGCGCTCTAACTGGACTATTACATGACTATAAATTGAATACCCTGTATTCTGTTGTGGGCACACTGTACCCTCATTCTTTTTGTGAAAGATGTTTACTCTCAGAACTTGAATAACAGTTTCTCTGAAGAAATCGGTAGCTTCGTTAAAGTAAACCTTAACTGCTGCTTTGTATTCCTTGCTCAGGGCATGAGCACAGTAAAACATCGTTCCGTTCCCCCCCAGTTCTGCTTTCACAGCATTTTAGGAAAGAGAATGTGGATTCCCTCTCTGCCTCTTTTGAATAGTAGAGCATCAGGAGAGTATAAATGCTTTAATTCCTCAAACACACTGAGGTTTGACGTTAGTAAATATCTTCTCTAAAGTTTCTACCAAATAATGGAGAGACACAAACCAAAAAATGGCGAGTGTAGCAAACCTAGTGTGGGATTTTGTGTGTTTTGCTCTTAAAATACTAACGTGTTACATGGTTGAATTTTTTTGAAAGCTGTTCAACTTACTAAGATGGTTTTGTTGAGTTTTAAGTATAAGCTAAATAAGGAAACTTACCTACCTTGGAGGTAGAGAATAGGCTCTTACTGTTCAGCATGTGGAGTAACTACACAGCAGTACCAGCCACTGAGCAATGGTCAGTGGCCAGTTCTTAGAATTTAACTTTGGAGCATTTTTCCATTAAATAAATGCAAAGAATGAGGTTGGAATAGTATATAAGAAGCTATTTCAGGTATTTAAGTACTCAACTGGATTATTTAATGTATGTAAAAATTTTAAACCAAAAAAGCTTTGGTAGTATAACTGTCAGAAAGATGTAGGTGGTGTTTTTTCTTTCTGCCACTGTAAAAAAAAAAAAAAACAAAAAACAAACAAACAAACAAAAAAAAACCCCAAACAAACAAAAAAAAAAAACCAAAACCAAAACCCAAACAAACAGCATTTTTCACAGTATAAATAAATATGTACACTTCTCAATATATTAATACAGCAGAGCCTTTTATCACTTAAATCTTGATGTATTGCAGCAGTCCAGTGCTCCTAGGGACGGCATAATGACCTTCACTTGATTTTGTTTATTGACAGATTATGACTGTGTTGCTGAGAGAGCTGGGAAAATAGAAAATGAAGTGAAACGATTACATAACCTCATAATTGACATCAATAATCACAAACTCAAAGCTCAACAAGAGAAACTTAATCAGATCAGCAAAGAAATAGATCAGTGTGCTTCAACTGTTACTAAAGCGCAAGTGGTGATCAAGACAGCGGAGAGGTACGAGTAGACGCCCATACGCTCCGTTGTAAAGCTGGAGGCTGTAATCGTGTAGTGCTGTGGTTCGGTCCAGGGGGGACTTTTCCACGGGGGATTTGTCAGGCTAGAGGAGCTGGGTTTCACCTCTATGGCTAGAGGAAAACCGGCGGGAGAAGGTCATCACCTTTTGCTCTAAACTGATTTACCTCAAACTGAGACCGGTTCTTCATTAAGAACTGTAATCTTGGTTAATTAGCGTGCTTTACAGGCAAAAGATCAAAGCTTGGTGAAACCTGACCAAGGAGAGTCACGTCAGCCTTCAAACAACTGCATCTGTTGGCATCCGTGCCTGCAGGACACGCGCTTGTTGTAAATAGTGTCCATAGCTCAAGATCCCGTCATCTTAAAATCTCAATTTTCAGTTGCATGTCGAATACTAAACGTTGCTTGTGTCGAGGAGGTAACGGGAAATAATTTTTTTTTCGTTTCTAATAGGCACTTTAAAAGTCACATTTAATTTTTCTGCTACTATTTGCATATCACTAAAATGTAGTATTTCAGGATAAAGATTCAAAATAGCACTGAACTGTCGTGCAGTGGAGCAGTTCAACTCTGGAAGAACTAACTTTTTGTAAGGCATGTCAGGAAATAAAATGCACTTCATTTTACGTTAGCTTAACAATACGTAATGAATACTCAGACCAAATGGCAAAACTGTCTCTGAAAGAACAAATTAAGTCATTTAACGAGGCCCGTCTGCTGTATGTTTAAGGAAGACAACTTTGTTTTACTTGGATGTCTCAGAAGTGTGAGAGTTCATGCATAAATCAGCACTTCTTGTTAGTTGTCAGTAGCTATTGAACGATCCCTGGGAGTAAGATTGCGTTTCTAGATTTATTTTACATCGTGCTCGCACTCATGTGAGGTATACAAACATCTTGGTACCCATGCAGAAACCTGAAAAAATCTGAAGAGTCTGTTCTTCGCACGGAGAAGGAAATTAAAAATAATGAGAAAGAAATTAAAGACTTAACAGAAGAGCTGACTACACTAGAAGACAAAGCTACTGAGGTTATAAATGACTGCAAGCAAGCTGAAGTAAGTGTCGTGTTAATTGAGAGTATTTCTTCAGAGGGGATGCAGCCTGTGAAATAAATCAGAGCTGACAGTTGTTGTGCCAGGGTTGTTCTAACGGCCGATGTCTGTTAAACCTTCGTCCTTAGATGTTCCAGGCAGGCCTAGCAAAGGGTTGCATTAGCTGATCGCACCTTCGTTTATTTAAAAAAAAAAAAAAAAAAAAAAAAAAAGCCACCTTGCTATTTAAGCCTCGACAATGCTGGTCAAAAGTATCTTTTTTTTTTTTTTCTCAGATACTCTACTATTCATTCTCCAAAAATTCACACGGGGTTCAAATGGCAAAGAATTCTGTGTTCCGCATTCATACAAAATTAATAATTTTGATTAATCATTAATCAAAGTTGCCATTTAAACACAGATGCTGGGGAGGGAAAATTGGACAAAAGCAGTCCTAGGAAGTGGTCTGGTGTTCAGGTAAAGTCAGGATCATGAGTTATATCCCTATTATATCCTAGTTATATCCTGTTATTCTATTCTTAAGCAGATTTTGTTTACAGCTGCAGTGACATTCCACAGTGGTCAGAGAATGGGGTATTTGTTACACTTACCTGGAATTATGTATTGACCCAATTTTCTGAAGCTAAGAAAAGCTTAAACCGAGTTTCCCCAAATAAATCATTGGGTTTAAGACTGGCTTAAAAATAGATATTTTTTTTTTTTCCAGTTATGTGGGACTTCCGTTTCCCATCTAGATTTATGTATGAGAGTGAGTGAAAACCACCAGGATGGCTGAAATTCTTCCAGATGAAGCTGTTGCTTTGAGACTGTCTCTAAAACTGCCTTTTAGCTAAAACCATCTGAGTGTAGGACTTGTTTGATCCAGATCCGAAATGAAAATATAAACTGTGGCATATTTTCAGGGACCAAGTTAATCTAAATACAAGCACATGTATTTGTTTACATCAATACTTAGGATTGTGGAGAGTGAGCTCTGTGAATAATGTAGTGAAAAGAAATCTATAACCTGAGAAAGTGGTAACATTTTTGTAGGTGACTGATTAATGTGCTTTTTATGTCATTCCTGTTTAGGAAGCGTTGCCCATGGTTCAGGAGGAGCATCAATGTTTATTCCAGGAGATGAAAACTCTTCAGGAGGCTGAACACGCACTTCAAAAGGAAGCTCTTAATATTAAGCTGAAAATTGAACAATTTGATAGTCATATTTCTACACACCAGTCCAAGATTAAATACTGGCAAAAAGAGGTGAGGGAATGGTTTAATTCCTAAAATGTGAACTATAAGATTTCAAAAGATAAATAAGTTAACATATAGTTAGAAAAGATGAAATTTGGGAGAAAATTCATACTCGGTTCAGTTTATTGGTGTTAATGCTATAAAAAACAACTCTAAAAGAGATGGCCTTTCAGTCTTTCTCTGGTTTACGTACAAGATTATGGATGAGCTGTGCATTAAATGGTTCAGCTTCTGGCTTTTCAAAGGTTTTTTATTTACGAAAGAACGGTAGGATAACTGTAAGTGATGTAACCCTACCTCCGAGTAATTAAGAGTGACGAGGGAAAAATTCTTTAGGCTGTAAACAACCACCAGGAGACTTTGTGCTTGCCTGTCCTCACTGTACGTACTAAAAAATGTTTGTTATGAAAGGGCAGGCACCCTCAGAGGTGAGAGAAGCAAAGAGGAGGAAGACTTTGCTGATGGAAACACAAGTTCTGTGTAGCTGTATTCGCTGCTGCGTCCACTAAGCTGTTCTTTGTGAAGCGGCAAGACCTTTGCCTCAAAAACATTTCCCCTACAACTTGCAGTCCGTTTGGTAGAGCCGATCGCCCTTCCCCAGTTAGAGGCAATTGGGTCAGTAGGAATTCTGCGGACCCAGGAAGAAACTGCTGCTTGAACCAGCTCCTCGAATAAATCCGAGCGAGGAGTTGCTAAGCCTAGGTGCTACGCCAGGTAGCTGCTCCGCCTCGGAGCTGTAGCGGAGCAGGGCTGCTGGCCCCGTCACGCGGCGAGCGAGCGCACGGACGGCTTCGCACGGACCTGAGTCCTTGCCGACCAGCTGCTTCTAAGCATTGTCAGACATTTGGTGTGTTAATTCCAAAAGCGTCTCCGATCAGCTTCCAGGAAGGACTTTTAATTCTCCTGGAACCAGTGCCGCACGCAGTCTTGACGTTTTCTGGCCCGTAGGTTGGTTGAGTGTAGAGTCAACGAGACGCTGGGCTGGGGCTTGGTCTTGCTTCGGTTTTCCTCGTTTATGGAAAGAGCAAAAATCAGGGATGTGCCCAGGCAGATGAGCTGGGAAAAAAGGCCAGTAAGGCATAAAGTTACCTCATCATTTTATTGTATGTCCTTTCTGCTTCATATTTAAATCTTTCATGGAGGTAGGGATCTGGAGCAGCAGCTGATCTTGCAGTGCACGGTGCCCTCCATACCCTCGTTAGTGTGAGGATGACGGGGCAGCTCTCCAGCAAGCAGAGCTGCTGCCAGAAACTTTTCAATCTTGAACACACAAAATATTACGTATCTAGTTGTTAAAGGTTCTGTGGCGTCAGTAAAGGCACTTCCTTGTTATCTGCTACTGCTCCCATTACAGAGAGAGATCTCCGACGTATATAATTTCCGGGAACAGCATAATAGCATAAAAGGATATCTGTTGTCTTTTTTGCATCTTAAAGGGAATAATCATTGAATGTTTCAAGACTGGAAGCTTCAGTAGGTACTAACAGAGAAACTATTTTGGAAACGTGTTCATGTGATACCTAATGTGATCTTTAAAGATTTCTAGTAACCGGGTTTGAATTTTAGATATCGAAATTATCACTGAACACCATAGAAGGTGAACCTCCTGAAGAACTTCCAGTACTAAGCCAAGAAGAGCTCGAGGCTATCAAGGATCCTGACATTATCACTAAACAGATAGCTCTCCTGGAAGCCCAGTGCCACGAAATGAAACCCAACCTTGGTGCTATTGCAGAATATAAGAAGAAGGTAAGCTTCGTTACTGCCGCGGAGTAGGATGATTCACCTGTGATACCGTGTGGCCCGTCGGCGCAGTCCCTCACCCAAGGGAAGCGTTGGGTACCCAGCTTTATTGTTTCCCAGCGCTTGAATCTGTACAGAATTGCTGTCGTTGCTTCTGGAGGAAGGAGGCAGCCTTCTGGTGGGCATCTTCCTCCAGGTGACTGCTCGAATGGATCCCGCACCCGAAATGCACGCAGGAACGCGCGCCGAGGGAGTGACAAAAGCAAACACCTTCTCTGTCTGTGTGCGTAGCAGGGGAAGGGGGGTCCTGGGTTCCTCCAGTTCCCTTCTGTCGGAAACTGAAATGGAACCCTTGAGTTCTCCCGTCCTCCTCTGCAGGCTGTGCTCTTGCCAGCATCCTGAGCAGTCGTTAGCTTGTACTTAGCCAAGCGTGGGAGTTTTATCCAGGAGCTTACTGCACCTTTTCTGTCGGCTGCCAGCCACGTCAGGTGAAGACAGCTTTCTCCTGTGAAAGTTTATTTAGAGTCAGCTAGTCTAGAGAGATACACAACAATACTTGGAATTTTTTTTTTTCTCGCACACTTCAGTAATACGGGTCTATTCAACAAATTTTTTTTTTTTTTTTTTTTTTTTTTTGACTTTAACATGGGTTTTCCAGTATCGAGATTGGCAGCACAGAGTTTAGAGATGAGAAAAAAGAGATGGTTTGGTTTGGGTTTGTTTCAAGCCATTCTGGGAAAAATTATGTTTTTCAAATGGTAGGAAAAATGGTTTAAAATCTAAATGAAGGAGACGGCTTGTTTAACTGTACTTTTTTTTTTTCTACAGGAAGAGGTGTACTTGAAACGTGTGGCTGAATTGGATGACATTACCAATGAGAGAGACCGCTTCAGACAAGCTTTTGAAGATCTTAGGAAACAAAGGCTAAATGAGTTTATGGCGGGATTTAATGTAATAACAAATAAACTGAAGGAAAACTACCAGATGCTCACTTTGGGAGGGGATGCCGAGCTGGAACTTGTGGACAGTCTGGATCCTTTCTCGGAGGGAATCATGTTTAGGTTTGTCAAAATACTTTGAATTATTGCTGTAATTGTTAATTGTTGTGTTCCTTTTTTCCGCCTGCTTTTTAAGTCAATTTTAATGGCTCAGCAGCCAACCAAGACAGTCCTCCCTCTTGGCAAGGTACTGAGAGAAGCCACAACTTTTTAGCATCGAGATTCATTTCTCCTGGAGACATAAGTAACTAACATCAGTCAGGAAGTTTTGACTTTGAAGTAATTTCTCAGCGTTTCTCAATTCCCAAATCATTTCATGCTGCGTAGGGAATTGTCAATCACATTGGTAACTGGAGATTGTTCTGGCAGAAGTGCTGGGACGAGGATATTCGTTACTTAAGAGTAGAGCAGCACTTCTGAAAGGTAATTAAATAGCAGTTCTAAAGTGTCATAGTTGCTACAGAGACTAGCAGAGTTACAACACTTTGAGTTCAGACAGCAGCTGGCCACGTGGCTGTGCGCCGCCCCGGGAGTTGCTCCTGGGTGAACAGCGATGCTCCACCTCAGCTGCGGAGGGCTCCGAGTGTTGCAGCTCCTCCCTGCTTTCAGTCTGTGTCTTCCAGAACTTCCCTCCTCTCTTGTGACTTTTCACCACGACGTATTTAATTGTGAACAGAAAGGAGTTACAAACTCTTGATTTGTTGCAGTGTTCGGCCTCCGAGGAAAAGCTGGAAGAAGATCTACAACTTATCAGGAGGAGAGAAGACTCTCAGTTCGCTGGCTCTCATTTTTGCTCTTCATCATTACAAGCCAACGCCACTTTATTTTATGGATGAGATCGATGCAGCACTTGACTTCAAAAATGTATCAATTGTAGCATATTACATATATGTAAGTATTTAATGGTAACTACTATAAAGTATAATTTTTCTAAGATATTTTCTCCTCTCCCAGAAAAGACAAAGTGGTAACACGATTACGGCCTGATTTTAAAACCTGCAGTGATAGAGCATTAAGTGGAAACTATGTACTAAGCAGATTTCCAGAAAGGTGCTTAGAACACTGCTTTCGGCGTATTTTTTTCTGAGCTGCTTCAGCTTTCCTGAAACGAGGCAACTACTCGAGAATTTACAAGTTTTTTCCCTTCCAGTCCTGTTTTAAAAGTTGTCTCGATTGCTGGAGTTTCCCAAAGGTGCCACATTTCCACGTGTCCTTGCTGCTACTGCTTCCTCTTTAAAATAGAAATACTTTCCCCAAACTAATCAGCTCTAGTCAGCTGAGAGCACAGTAACTTCTTCAGCTCCTAGTAATGTCTTCGTGGCTCCAAGCTCATGATTTCATCCTCGGGAGCAGCCAAGGTTCCTTGGTTTTATGCTTCCATTTCATTAACAGGAGCTGCTTTGTTGGTGACTTTAGTGTTTTTTTTTTTCTTTCATACCTTTAAAAATTGTTGTCACCGTATTTATATCAAGCAAACATTTACATTGCTACAGTTCTAGTTGCTAATTTAAGGAGTTTTCAGAATTATCCAGACTATAACCATCAGTTTTGGGAACACTTGAGAAGTGCCAAAGATTATGATTAGCCGCTTAAAATTAGGGCAACACTTTGAAGATTCCTCCCTGCAGCTGGGAACTTCACTTCCCCAGGGCCTGTATTGTCAGAGGAAGGTCCGTCACCCCGACGTGATTTGCTAGAGCAAAGAGTTTCATTTCAACTGCAGCCCAGACTAACACTTAGATTTAAAACCTAGTGTAGTTTAACTCCTAAATGCAAATTGTAGCTTAGCAGATACATAGCTGCAGCTCGTATTTTGTGTGCAACTTCTGAATTAGCACCATCCTAGGAGAAAAGATGGTGGTTGGTATTTGAGGCATTTTCGTTACATCTGTCCTGAAGCTTTTGAACCTCGTAAAACTGGCTCCGGGCTGCCGCTACACCTCGGTGTTGCCAGGCTGTGCCTGCTCCCCAGAGAAGTCCTGCTTTTTCTTTTCTCCCAGTTAAGCCTCTCTCCTCTCCCCCTTCTCCTGCGCTTCCCTCCCTCCTCGTAGCCCGGCCCAGTGAGCTCTCTGGTCCCAGTTCACCCCAGCAAGAACCGGGCTGGGAGCACTGGTGAACTTACACTCGGACTGCTGGTTTCCTAAAGCCAGGGTTTGTTTTCTCTTTAAAGCAGCACCAAGTGTAGATGTTGTGTTATCAGTTGTTCTGCCTCGGGGTCACAGAACTAGGGCAGGGCTCGATCTCCCTGCTCTCGGGGCATGGAAATCACTTTGCTTTTTTCATTTCATTCTTCAAGCAGCCCTTGCTCCACCGATTCTGGTAAATGAGCAGCACCCACTTTTGGGAAGTTTTGTAGAACTCACGTTAAAAAACTCCGGAAAGAAATTCCCTGTGTTTGTATTGAATTCACTTGAATAGGTTGTAGAAGAGAGAAAAGGAGGAAATTCTTGCTTAGGCACGTTGCTGGCTGTTCCTTGGCCCCCGCAGATTTGGGCAGTGAATTCCTCAGTTCCTAAAACCTGGCGAGAGAGAGAGGGTCCAAGAACAGCTCTGCGAAACGCTGGGGGCTAACACAAATAACTTCTCTTTCAGGAACAAACAAAAAACGCGCAATTTATCATCATCTCCCTGCGAAACAACATGTTTGAGATCGCGGACAGATTAATTGGAGTTTATAAGACTCACAATATCACCAAAAGTGTGGCAACCAACCCCAAAATCATTGCGTCTAAAGGACTGACTGAACTCGGCGCGCTCGGGTGTAGTACAGCTGAGAAATAGAGCGGAAGAAACTTCCCTTCTCATTGCTGCTGGTTTATGTGAGATCTTTTTTCGTTTAGTTTGGTATTTGAGCTCATTAATAAAGCTGGCTTTCATAAAGTCTGTCGTTTTTTTTTTTTTTCAATTATACAGTCTATATAAAAAAAAGCTATTTTTCAATTATGTAGCTAGTTGAATATTCCAGGGGTAGGCTTTACGTCAACGTCTGGGTTCTGCATTTGCTATTAAATACCTGGGCTTTTCACTGTGTCTATTAAAAGAAACATTATTGTTTTTCAGTGTCATCAGTGTGTTCCGTAATATTTTATTACGAGTCCCAGTAAGTCAGTATACAAAATAATTTACATGTATAGAAGCAGGATCGGGGAGGTAAGGCTGCATGGGCTGGGAATCTGAGGGTTGTAACCCTGGTCTAAGTGTTTGAGGAAGCTGCTCTTCTGGTAATCCTCCTCCCCTCCTCTCTGAGTTTATTAATGAACCCTGCTCAGGGTTTATTAAGGCAGTAATTACCCTCTGCTCATTAATGCTGTCCCCCACCCCAGGCTGAGCTGTGTCCCAGGGAGCAGGAGGTTGGTTCAGGCTCTGGTGCCTGTTGCTCACCTGCCTGTCACAGTTCTCCATTTCCATCAGCATCTTGTCAGTGCTTCAGGGGCCAGTTTTGCTTTGGATCCAATATTTTTTTTTTCTTCTTTTTTGGTACTAAAAAACTGAAGTTGTGCCTTTTAGTCTGAAAGTCACAGTCACACCTGGCTCGCGTGCCCTAGGACTGATCCCTGAACTAGAAGTGCCTGTCTCCTGGTCATATGCAGCCTGAAAAAAGGAAAAAAAAAAAAAAAAAAAAAAAGCACCAAACCCCAGCTCTATCCCTGCTGCGCGAGGCACCATCAGCCTCAGGGTGCAGGGCGGGAGAGACACTTTCAATGCCATGTTAAAATTGTATCAAATATTGACAAGTGAAAATGAATGTAGAAGGAATAAAGTGATAAATTATTTTTGGGAAGAGATCGTAGTGGTAGAGCAGCAGGGCAGGTTTAGGGAACCACAGCTCAGCAACAGTCTGAAGCACGACGTGAGCTGAGGAAAAAAAAAAAAAAAAAAAACACAAACTGCACGGCAGTGCTTGGCCCCAGGTTTGGTTTTTCCCATCTCCAGCTGAAGCTGGAAAATCTTGGGGTACGGCATGAACACAGGGGCAGGATCAGCCCAGAACCCCGCGTACAGGAGGAGGGAGGGAGCCCTGCTGGAGAGCAGCAGAGGAACAAGGCAGGGACCCGCCCCAGCAGGGCAGGTCCCCACGGTGACTTCTGAGCTTGCAGTAAAAAGGGGCCTTAGATATTTTTGGCAGGAGCAGCAGAGCTGCTGCAGGGCAGGACAATCCCTCAGCTAAGGAGCTGGGGACAAGGGAACAACCTGTGGGAGCCATTCCTGAAGGTGCCCGAGGCCACCTCGCTATCCCAGGGGCTGCCTGGACACCTGGGAACTTCAGTCTCTTCCCCCATGACAACACTTTTTCAACCAGACTTCCCTTCTAAATTTGAAAAAAAAAAAACAACAAAAAAAAAAACACACTAAAAAAATATATGCAGTAAGACACTTCTAAAATGAGCTTCCAAATTTCTAAATGAGAAAAAGGAATTTCTAAACTCTAAAATGAAGTTTCAAATTTCTAAAGGGGAAAAAGGAATTTCTAAACTCTGAATTTGGAAACGATGTTTCCAAAAAACCCCACCACCCTAGGTTCAACAGGGTCCAAGCCCCTCTCCCACCTCAATTAAAATGCAGTAAAAAAAAATGTGATTTTCTTGAAACAAGTTTCCATCCCTATTCCACGAAACCCAGCGCAGCGAGTTGTACCCAGCACGGGCAGGAGAGCGCGGGGCTGCAGCAGCCTGGCCACCCACCCCAAGGCTGGGGGTAAGAGGAAAAGGAAGGCAGAAACTGCCCCGGCTGCGCGGCCGACGGAAAAAAAATCACCAGCACAGGCCGGAGCGCGAAGCCCCGCTGACCCACCTCGCCACACGCCGGGTCAGAGGATCCTCCTAAAGTTGATGCTGCAAAAAAAAAAAAAACCCAGGTGCTTGGAAGAAACAGAAGCAGCGAGGCAGAGCGGCCAGTCCTGCTTCAGCCGGGGCTGCTGCTCCATCTCCCCTCGCTGGCTCAGCGCTGGGTTGGATCAGAGGAAGAGGTCTGTGAAAAATCAAGGGGTTAGCCGATCCTGCTGTAAGAATAAATTTTATTTGTATGCAAGTTTATTAAAATATAGTGTGTAAGGTAAAATACTTGACGTTTCAACCAGTGGGAAAGGCATTTTATAAATTCCCGTAGTCTGGAAAAATAAAATTGCGTTATAAACTCTCTGTAAGTTTTTAAAAGTCAAGAATTTAAGACAGGAAGGCAAAGACAAAAAAGAAGCCTCGCGTAGCCCACTTAGCACCAGGGGTTGAGAGACTTACACGCCTTCTAGCAGGCCCCAAGACCGAAATTCCCACTTTTCCTGGGAAATTCATACGACAGCAATCACGCATCCATCTGAACACCATTTCAAAACCTGACCAGCCTGGGATCTGCCTTTGTAACTCTAAAAGATTACAGAAAACTAAACTGCAGAAATGTACAAGATGACAGCAAAGCCCCTCTGCTCCCCTCTCCATCAACCCCACCCCACCCCCCGCGCCGCAGGGCCGGGGCAAGCGCTCAGCCCTGCGTAGCCATTTTGTAATTAACTGGTTCAGCTGAGGGAGCTGCTCTTCAGTGTTTTATCGACCCAGCAAGGTGGGATATCAGCGCCGGTGCTCGGATCTCCCTTCGGGACTCTGGGCATCACATCCCAGGGCTGACCGGGCGCTCAGCTCCCACCGGCATTTCGCAGGCCCCCTGGCAGCAAGGGGCAGGTTTTGCTTTGCACGAGGGTTTAAAACACCAAGTAATTAAAAGCCGCTTTAACCACTCAGCCTTCACTCACTACATTATTTAAAAACGTACAACAGCCGAGCGATGCTGCTGTGCTAGAACATCATTGTTTTTATCAAGCCAAATACAATTAGACACGGGGAATACTCGGTTTTGGCTTCTTGGTGAGTTGTAAGCTGATCTGTGTGCTGCTGTTGTAACCGCACCACTGCCAGGCTGGCCCAGGGCTTGCTGTGATCAGCCCCTTAATCACACAAAGCCAAAAAAGGGGGGGCAGGGGAGGGTCCCCACAGCAGCAAACAGTGTCACCGGTGGTTTGGTTGCAGAATAAAATGCTATCGTGTTTCCTCTACGTCAAGGTAAAGATCTCTGTTATTTGTGCTGGAAAGTTAAATTTACAAACAGAAGAAGTTTGAAAATTGAAATGGTAAATTCTCCTTGTCAAGTTGTTTTAAAGAGCTCTCGACAACATTTGAAACCCTTCTACCCCCGACTTCAATGGGAGTTTTGCTACTGACTACAGCACGTGCCTATTTTTACTACATATGAAATGACTTAGCAAAAAGTCAGGGCTCGGTTTAGTAAGCAGCGAGAGTTCCCTGCCAGACTAAACAAACACCCAGTTAGTGCACAGCTGGCATTAAAAAAAACCCCTTGTGCAGTATTTCACCAGGAGTCCTACAGCTACTGCTCTGAGGAGCGGAGAGAACCACGGGAAAGCCAGAGTTGTTAAACACAAGTTTAAAAAAAAAAAATTAAAAAATATTAAATGATGTCATCCGCTAGTAACCAGGAACAAAGACAATAAAACCCAGGGCCATGAATATATCCTCTAAAGACCGCAGGTGTAGCAGTTAAAATACATTCAGAGAGGTCAGTAAAACACAAAGTAGGAGTTTTATCTCCAGTAGAGATAGTGACTGGCCCGTCCGGGACCAGCCACTTTGCAGGCTGAGGTGTTCTAATGTTGCAGTGCTTTTATTAAAAAAAAACAATTTAAAATTATGTTACCAAAAAAAAAAAAAAAAAGTAGATGCTGAAGGAGTTTTTACAAACAGGACTCCAGGTTACAATTGTGAGTCGATCACAGCGTTCTTAGGCAGACATTGTTCCTGACTAGCTTCCACTTTAAACAAACACCTCCCAACTTCAGTATTGTGTGAGCAGAAGAGGAAACTTATTGCAAATCTTCGCAGTTAACTACGAGTTAGCGAAGAGGAAATCTACACAATACCAAAAAAGGAAGGATATGGAAATAGGAAAAGTGTAGAGCTTTTTAAATTTCTACTTAAAAGCTGGATTGCTAAAAAATCCTGTGGATTCCCACACTAACTTTTAATCTAATCATTAAAACAGTCAAAGAGAAACAACTCTCCCCAAAAACTCCATCACTAAATTAAATGTATGGTACAGCACATCCACTAAATCCTGCAAATGGGTGCAGAAATTCTGATAAACAATCAGCAAGAATTCTGAGATATAAGCGGGAGTAGTTTTGATTACAGCTGACGACACTGGCTTGTGAAATGAAAACACAGTTACCGCTATTATTATAAAAAGAAGCAGGACTGCTATGGGATGTACAGCCTGGAGGAGTTCTTTAGACTCTCTTCCTTCCTTTCCACTGCTTTTGCTGCGTAACTTTCTTTTCGGAATCAGTTTTATTTTTGGAATGAGGACCTTGTTGATGTGACCGATTTCAGTTTTAGACCACACATCTTTCAGCAGGTGCCCAATCCTCGGGTAAACCTCCACAGGTTTAACATCCGGCAGCTGCTTCTGCTTCAAAGCTTTTATACGTTGATGCATAACGTCCACCTTCTCGAGAAAAATAAGCGGGGACTCTTCCTTTTGAATAGATGTGTTCAGCGACATTAACTCGAGCTGTTCTTCCCTTATTTTTTTCAACTTCTCAATGAGAGGCTCGTACTCTTCCAAAATGTGGGCGTTCATTTCATCCAGTGCAGTCAGCAGAGCTTGTTTTTTGCGCTCTAGGGTATCACTAAGTTTCTTAAAATACTGGACTACGACTTTCTTATCATCCTGAACAATGTTTTCACACTGGGACTTCTGCTCTTTCAGCTTTTCAATAAGCAAGCATACATCAGTCCAGTGTTTATCAGTTAGCTGCTCGAGAAGTTTTCCAGAAGTCTCCTTTTCTTTTATGTAGGCACTCTGAAGGTCATCTATGGGGTGACCGTTGTGTTTTCCTATCGTAAGGCAGTGGCCACACACCAATTTTCTATCCAGAAGACAGTAAACGTTCAGCGGTTGCCTGTAGTGTTCACTGCAGGTTGCGACATCAGAGTGATCTTCCTGTTGGTATTTTTCAATAATCGCTTTCAAAGCAAAGTTGATAGGTAACGATTCAGTGCCAGCAGCAGGAATTTCAACAATACTCCTACAGTTGGGACACTTCAGAGGAAGTCTCAGGGGTGTCCAAATGGAAAAGTTGCTTGACAGGCGAATAACACCTTCCAGGCAATTCCTACAAAACGTATGGGAACAGGGCAGAACGCGTGGATCTTCAAATATGCTATAGCAAATGGAACACGTTAACTCTTCCTCAAAGTGATGCATGTCCTACAAAAGAAACACAAAAAGAAAAAAATGTTTAATCTCTTTTTGCAATCAACTGATTTAAAATCATTTTATTAACCTAAGCACCTCAACATGACACTGAACGACCACTGACCTGGCCTATGTTGGCAGTTTATTGTTAAGGAGGGTGGGGGGAAGAGCAGGAAGACAAAAAAGAAGAATTGAAGTGATCAACCGTTCAAAAATTTCAGCAAATTATGATCTAAGTGACTAGGCTAGTGTTCCCCCATATCCAACTTCTGCCTTGAAAAGCTAGAAAAAACAGCAATCTGCTCCTAGCTATTTTTTACAGTGGGAAATAGTAGAAGAATGGTAAAAGCTAGAATTAAAGTTTCTAAATACCCTACAAATCATTAAAATTTTCTCAGACAGTGAGTAACATTTTCAAGGACAGAACAATACAGAAAGGGTGGTTTTTTTCCCTTAACTTTACTAAAATGTTACTTTTGTAATATAAATAGTCATGAGAGTATTAAGCAGTCAACTTACTTAAAAGCTACTTCTAGGTTCTGGCACAAAGAGAAGTCTCACTCAATGGCCCTTAAATACAACACCAACAGTAATTAGACTCACAGTGTTACTCCTGGGTTACTTTAAGCACAAAATTAAAAACCTAACTTTCATTTTCTGTCCTTGATAATGTTGCCTTGTTTTTCTTTGCCAGCCTTCCTTGTAAAAATCACACTGTAAAGTCACAAGTAACAGTAACTCTAATGTCAGTTTTAATAACAAATTATATTTCAGGTTTTAATTCTGGTAAAAAAAAAAAATGGGGAAATTAGTACACACTGTCCTTATCTTTGTGTCACATTTTCCTGTCCCCTTCATCAGTCCTAGTTAACTCTGTAGACTTTGATACACTGCAAAAATAAATTGTCCATACATTTAGTATCAAAGACTCTCAATTTAGGGTCTAACTTTAAATATGAAAACTATAACATGCAGCTGGGCTAACGCAGCTGCACAAAGTGCTACTGGACCTTTCTCTGGTTCAGTCAGGAAGATAATTATCTATGAGATGTATTCAAGGTTATCTTATTCAGAAGTGCCCTCGATCTTTCTAATACAGTAACATATCTTTCACATCCATCTATCAGCATTTTTCACCGACACCGAGATTAACAACGTTGGATTGATTTTAAGTGAATCTACTTAAAAGAAATTGAATTGTTAATTATACTCTTCTTTGAAAAGAAAACCTTAAATTGTATTTGGAACCATGAAAATCAACAAGGATTAAATTCGTCATTAACTAACAAAACAATTTACAATGAACAAATTAAGCAGCACCATTCCTGCGAAAGGCACAGCACTAACCTGAGGAAGCCAGAAGCTGAATACTCAGGCCCCGATTCTTTGAGAGTTAATTTCAGCTCTGAACAGAAAAACCTACTCTGGTTGTACAGAAGTAAGCGTGGCTTATCTCACTTTACTGAGATAGGCCGGTGCACCCGAAAGTGAAAGTGTTCAGCTCTGCACATCTAATCAGACTCTTTTGCCTTGTAAAACCAGACTATATAATAAATAATAATAATAAAAAAAAAATCTAATGGCCATCGGCACCCAAAATAACCAGATCAATTCAAAGACTTATTTGTATATTGTTGAATAAGTCATTTTTATATTGAAAACATATTTTGATTATTACAGTTAAAAAACAAACAAACAAAAAAAAAACCAACACATCCAACACACTTCAGGTAATTTTTTCAGCTAATTAATACAAAATATTGGTTCACTTATTTGAACTCCACTTTTTAAAAAGACCTTAACAACACTTGGAAGAAAATCTACCAAAGAGAGACATAATTCCTAAGAACCACCCTTTAAAAGAATAACAATAAAGTGTGTTAGCATTTATAACTAACTAGTGTATTCTCCTGGCTAAAGAGAATTAATATCAAGTACTACAGACAGTTCGCAGAAGACACAACACCTTACCACTAAATCTACTTCTGTACTGCACTGCTCTGACCACAGCCCATGAGGTATTTCTCTTTTTAATGGGGAGCCACAGACCTTCATTTTCCAGCTTTTCCAATTAGCCACTGTGGCAACACTAGGTTCTTTAGGTCTGTATGTTAATAACTTCACATTTTTAAGTGATGTTCCAGACCCTGAAGCTAAAGACATGTATCAATAATGAAGGGAAGCTGAACAACAAATCTACACCACTGCCTCGATAAATTATTTTTTGAGAATCCCCATAGGAAATACATTTAAAAGTTTTATTTATAAGTGTATATATATACATATATAAAATTATGAAACCTGGGAATATCACTTCCACTTAAAAAAAAAAAAAAAAATCAGTTAACTTTCTGCTCATGGTTAGAAACGAAAGAAAGAATCCTTAGTAGGTACTCTCATTCATTATTTTCTTTTATATGTATACGGAATTAATGTTTAAGAAAATCCCTGTGTTTAAGTTCCTATTTTTCCCTAAATCTATGACTATAGTTCTCTTCAAAGGAACTGCTACAGGAGGGAAATTTTCTTTATAAAGAGCACATATCTAGCTTATTTGAGCTACGCAAAGGGCAAGATAGAATGAATCTTCAAAAATTTGTTTTAACAGCGAAGTAGTTGCTTGCTACCCTGAAAACAAAGGAGCAACTTTACAAAACTTTTCCTTATTAAAAATCACCTCAAACCCCACAGGAGTAAGCGTGTCCCCCCCTTGCCACAAGCCTGTGCAGGTCAAAGCGGCGAGCAGCCAGCCTGGAGGCCTGCGCTCACGTCAGGCCTGTTTCATAACCCTTGCAGCCGCTAGCCAGAAGGACTGAAATTCCCATTTCCACAAAAAACACACCGCTATGTTTCCCAGGCAACTGAGAAATTTAAGGAGTGACAGCAGTTGCCTGCTGGCGACGGGGGCTGGGGCAGGAGATTGTGCCCAGGGGCAAATGGGGCAGCTCCAGCCCCCCAGGTACCTCCAGAAGAAACGGCACTTGATTTGTTATTATTCATCTATTTCAAAACAGTATTTGGAATGCTGATGTCGATGTTTGCTCCAGGCATCCTGTGGTTTTTTAATCTGTTGGAGACAACTACTCCAGAGTTGCACCAGAGAAGCAAAACACAGAAATCCTGAAATTAGGTTTCATCCTGCACTGGCAGCAGCATGGAGAAAATAGTCTGCACATGAACAGTAGAACTACATCAGTAAATGGCTATCAGAAACAGAGAGACTGAGAATACCAAAGAAAAAAAAAAGGAGAAGACCCAGCCTCACTGAGTTAAGCAAAGAGAAAGAAAAAAAGTTTTGCAGGGAGAAAAAAAAAAAAAAAAAAAAAAAAGTAGCAGGAAGCTGGCAAGCGCTTTCCTGTCCAGAGCATATACTTTTCCTTAAATGTTCCAAACAACTGTGGTAGCAAATATGTGTGTATATACATATTTATCTTAAGAGTCGCCCAGTAGAAGCAAATTATAAACTAGAAGGTATTTTAAAAATTCAGAAGTGTAATTCTGCCAGTAACATAGTGAGTCTCAGAAACCTTCCTGCAATAGAAGGCCCATTAAGCAGCTGTGGTTTTATTCTCTTCTAATTAGTGATACCATAAATGAGGTGAAAACATGAAATACCCCATACCTGTATTACAGTTCATCTGCCAAAGCTCGCAGTTAAGTAGATCAAAGTAATACAGTGTTTTCTTTGCTAACACTGTGTTCCTCACCTAGCAATCAGGCCACTGCTCATCCAGCTAATTATGCAAGATGTTTAGAAACGACTGCACATGGAACACAGCATATGTCAGTGTTTAGGTAGATAAATAACTAACTGCTTTACAGCAAAAGCCAGCTGTAACAAGCCGATAAACCTCACTCTGGAAGATTTTAAAAGGTGAATTTGGCATTTGATAACAGTCACGACAGCCTGTACCAAGAGTTGTGAGGGGCACTGAATGCAGACCTTCCCTAGGAGTGGGTGCTGCCAGGCTCCCTGCTCCTCCCTCGCACCACTGTCAGGAAAGAAAACAACATATTCTCTCTCCTGAATGACACCGTAATCCTCAACTCGACTTTCAATACTGCACTTCAACTAAATCCACGTCAGAAATGCTGTCTCCCCAACCCATAGTGGTCTGTGAAGTCTTCCTGTAGCACTAGCATAGAAGCCCAAGTTGTGCAAAAATAAGATGTTAAAAGGCATCATAGGCAGTGTTTTCCATTTGTTAGTCACCTTCATGATAAAGGATGACAGAACTTTTAGAAAAACCCCAGAAGGCCAAGGTGTAGCTCTGGTATTTGTCAGTGGATCAAAAGGGATGGAGCCTGATACACAGCTGCCAGGTTCACCGGTTGTAACAACAGGCCGGCACCAAAAATCAGAAACAACACCTAGACCATAAACCTTCCTATTCCAGCCCATTTCAGCTGTACTGCTTTACTCCACACCACAAACATCCCACGGCCAAGTCACAGCAATTCTCAACCAGGGATTTCTGCCCCTCGTCCCGATTCCTACCACAGCTACTATACCACCATCCCAGACTTTTACACTGTTTTTTATGACCTGAAAGCAGATGAACACAGCTGAGGAGCCTGTCTAGTTTCCCCACCAAGCTGACCTGACAGTTCCCTCCTGTATATCCCTCCACTGGCTCCTTGCCTGTTACTACAAGCTTACACAAGTTACTACAGTCAAAAAACGCGAATATGCTACTCTATCCTTTCCATGCTCTGTTGCCAAGACCCTGCTCTCCATCCCTTATCTCTTGAACTCTGTCAAAGCTTCTGGTCTTGAGCATTCATTTCTCATTTGCCTCTTAGCATTAGGCAGCGGAGTGAGGAGGAAGAGAAGATCTTTACCTACTACCTGCAGACCCTCTGCCAGCTCTCGCAAACGATGCGGCGACTAGTAACGACGTGCATCTATTAGTAACCAGAAAAAAAGGAATCGAAAAGCAGCAGAAACTTGCTAAGGTACCAGGGAAGGAAGCGTGCTCGAAGAGGACGAAGCGGCGGTGGAGCCTGTGCCCGCCGAGCGCGGCCCGAAGGCAGAGAAGCCTCCCGGGCCCGCAGGGATGGCGGCCGGTCCCTCAGGCAGCGGGGTACAGCCCCGCCCGCCACGGCCGGCTGAGGGGAGAGCGGTCCCCGCCGCCCGCCCTCCGCCGGCGGGGCGGTTTTACCTCAGAAATTCGCGCGAGCTGCCGATGGCGGGGGTCAAGCCCTCACGAAACACCTCCCGGCGCGGGGGTACGGCCGGAGCCCGGGGCGGGCGCGCTGCCCGCCTCTCCCCTGAGGGAAGAGCCTACCTGTGGGCGCTCGGGTCCCGCCGCCAAGCATCGGCCGCCCCGGCGGAGAACCGCCACCGAGGCCGCTCGCCACAGCGCCGCCGTGCGAGCCGCGCATGCGCGGGGGTGGGGAGCAACGGCCGCGCCGTTCGAATGTAAACGGTCAGCGGGGCGGGGCGCCGCGCTCAAACCGGGCGACCGTTAACGGCCGGGCGGCCCCTCAGGGGCAGGGACGCGCCCGAACCGGCGCCATGACACCGAGCTCAGCGGCGAGAGGGAGCCGCGACACCCCTCCCGCCCTTAGGGACCCGCTCCCCGCAGACATCAAGATCCAGCCTCACACACTTGGCTCAGTTTTCAAGGGAAAGATAGCAAGAAAGAGGAGAATTACGAATCAGGAATGATGCACTCGATGCCATCAACATCAGTAATGAAGTGCGAGGCACTAATGAAAGTAAAGTGGAAACACCCTGGTATACAGCTGTGTTTTCTCTTTTGTGCAATTACTGTAATCAACATCTTGCCAAACTGATTCGCCTTCACAATCTGAGGAAAAACTCACCCTGAAGCTGGAAACAAAGAGGCATAAACTTCTGACATCTGCTTCAGGGGGAGCCAGGGACTGACCTCCTGCCAACCACTAATCGCAGAAATGAAAATAAATAAATGTAAGTGGTAACGCTCAGTTTCAACTGAAGCACGCTTACCTACTTTGGCTCCTGAAGGCAGTTCAGGTAGTCTAAGTGAAGCAAAATTGCTGCTGCCATACATTAAAACCAAACAATTATAATGAAGAATATAGAGTCTGTCTTCTCCTTATTAAGCAAAACCCAAGATTGCAGTAGAAAGCAAATGGATTAGGACTGCGATTACTGACAGTTTTACTGGTCTCTGTGACACTGGTAAACCTCAAGATTTTATCAGTTAAAGTACCCACTGTTATGTAGACTTTCATCACACTCCAGATTATTCTATATTTATTTATAGTTCAGCAAACTACTCTAAATGATTTTCTCTTTCAAATTCACTATAAACATAACATCTGAGACTAACCGAAGCGTTAATCATAATACATCATCATTCAAAAATTTCCTAAGCATCTGTCTTAAAACTGCTATTTAGAGCACCTTACAGAAACATCTGGGAAACATCCGGAATTATGTTTTGAGTAATTGTAAAACCTCATGCTCTAACAAATTAACCAACATGGGTTATCTGATAGGCAGAGTTTACAGCTCTAAATTGAGCTGTAATTGGTGTTTGTTGGGTGAAGGTGTTATGATAATACTATCCTTACATTCGTATCTTTTGATGTCAGTTACACCACTTCAGTTTTGAATATTTAATGATTTTAATTGAAATTTTTTGTGTGCTATTAAGTTGAAGTTTTTCAACTTTTCAACCTCAACAAGTTGAAACAGTGCTTTCTATTACTGTAGTTCCACTTGTGGCAGTACAGATGCTGCCCTCTTAAGTGCAACTTGCTCTAAACGAACAAGTTTTCTAAAAAAATCATACATTTTTCAACTCCCATTGTTTCTGTATTTTGTTACAAAAAGATCTGTTGGCTGTTGATTACTTTTGATACCTGAATCTAATTACAGTTTCTAATACACATTCCTTAGGATCATGCCTCTGCGAACACTGGCTTTCAACATAGTCCCCATGGAGGGTAGGTTGATAATTGTCCTTATTTTTGCTACCAAAATGGGCAGGGGAGGAAGAAAGAGGATTAAAACATGGGGGAGGGGTTGTGGGGGGGTGGGAGTGGTGAGAAACAACAACATTGAAAAATATTTTACTTACACTCACATATTGCATGATTTTTTAATAGGAAAGTCTTCATCCCTAAGAAAACTGACCTCCAGAGGAAGGTCTTTCTCCCAAACAAGCGGCTACAAGCTGAAATGTCAGTCTCCTTATACAGAAGACAGCTGACTCCAAAATGAAAGAGGGATATTCCTTCAGAACAGGGATGACAGCATGAAAGAGAAGTGTCCCACAACTAAAGAAAGGAAAAGGCTAACTGAGATAGGGAACAGCTCATCTTTCTTGGAGATACTGACTACATTGATTGCCTCCCGAGGCCTGCTCAGGCAACTATCCAGGCACCACACAGAAAAAAAGTTATCCAGAAAACCTTATGAATTAGAAAATTTCAGTAGAATTTTTATTTTGCCATAAAGGGGACTTAAGATGTTGAAAAAGAAATCCTTCCTTAAAAATCATGGTTTGGAGAAACACTGGGTCCTTTCTGACTTGAGGACAGGACTGAGGTGTCTTAAGTGTCATCTTCCAAAAGAAGGTGATGTACTTTTTATAAGAGATGCAGTAGTGAAGAAAAAAAAAAAACAAAACACTACTTAAATCCAACTACTTGCTTAATTCTAAAAATAAAGATAATTTAATTCCAAAATTAATTCCAAAGTAATAGATATGGTTCTTTAAGTAACCAATTTCAGTTTAATCTTAGTTTTGTAGAACCTGAAACAGTTAATAAAGACTAGAACAGCATGGACTTCTTATTCAGGCTTTATTTCCACGATGGGGCAATTTTGCATATCAGTAATGTTACAGTAGGATTGAGAGTGTTTTTTATATATATATTTTTGCAAATAGGTAGTCTAAACATGGTATATTTCTTTCTCAAGCTGTGTTGCTTCATTATATATTCCATTTGACTATTCCCTATGTCCCACAGTAAAGTTTTCCTAACAGTATTCATTTGGTTTATTCACATGCCCAAACTATTCCCAGGAATAGATCAGAGAGGACAGTACAAGACTGAAGGTGCAAGGTGTATGTTTTTTCTTTGTTATGCTTGGAATGAGATAAAACGAGCAATCCAGAGCCAGTGCTAGTTATTCTCCTACTTTACTATGTAAATAATTAGTACATTCTACATTGTTAGTTTTATAGGAGTTTGGGGTAAACTGCAGCAACTCCCCTTTACTTTCTACCACCTTGCAGTTTCATACTTTCAAGACAGAAGACTGAAGTTACGAGGTTTTAAAAGTTGCTTGCTCTGTCAAAACCATTCTTTAAATCCTGCCCTTACCCTTAATTACAGGTAAGGAGATCCCTGCCAATTGTGCTCATCGTGCCTGCTGATGGTAGAAGAATCCTCCACACCCTTGTTTCTGCAGAGTGTTTGGTTTGTGAATTAACCTCCTTAGCTCCTGCCTCCACTTCTAACCCAGCTCACCGTTTCACCACTTAGGCCAACCCGCATCTGTCACCAAGGTGGCCTCGTCCATCTCTCTTGTGCTCAAGCAGCCACATGGGCTCAAAGACCTGACCGAAAACTAACCCAGAAAATAACTTGTTTTTCAGAGAATGAATCCATCGGCTGGAGGATTACACGCCACATAATGGGTCATTATACCAGATGGGTCATGACTAAGCCACCTGCTGTGGTGTCAAGATGATGAGAGCACATTTCATAAAAAGTCACACGAACAGAATGTATGCATTCACTGACAGGTCAGTGATCCACTTTCTATGACAGATGTCAAACATTTTATTTACTACTGGAACAAAAAAAAAAAAAAGGTAATACTAAGATATACAAATCTTCACACCCAGTTTATTCTGCTCCTGTGCCCAATTTGTAGAAGAGGTTGCAACCACGTCAATGTTCCATTGTTAGCATGACATCAACTGCATCACAGTGTCAAATCTTTGCAAGTTAAATTTTGGGAATAAGTTGTCTTCTAGCAGAATTCTGCATCTGGCAGAAATTGCAATGGAAAAGACAATGAGCCAGTGTTCAGTCTGCACAGCTGACAGTCTGCGATGTACTAATGCCAGAGCCAGCCTGAAAACACAAGCTTAAGAGACAGCCCCCTTCTAACTGCATTTGTAGGATCTAGTGCAGCAACAACCTGCTAAAAGATGTTTCTGCAATTTAAGTCAGGTGAAATACAAAAATCCTAACAAGCACTACGTTTTCAAGATGCACAGCCAGTGCAAAATAGGTATCCCAACAAGCCTACTAACTTAAAACAGATATAGCAACACAGGTATCATTTGTGGCTCAGTATGAATAAAGTCATCTGGAACATACTCCCAAGGTTATCCCATTTAAAAAAAAAAAAAAATCTGCATTTCTATGTTTCTGCAATTCTAGAAAGCTATCATGTGGCAACACACAAAGAAACCAGTAGCTAAAACATGAAAATGCCAGACAGCCAAGACAAATGTGTAACAAATCAACGTTTGTAACTGCACATACTATATGAGAGCAAGTGATACAGTTAGAGAAAATACAACATTTTAGGTGAGGAAATCCTTCTTCAGGTCCACAAAAACCAACCTGCAAACTAAGGCTTTGGTTCTACCACAACAGTTGAATTGCTGGCTGCACAATTCCGGTGCATTACAACAACCTTGTCAAAGGCAGTAGAAAAAATTAGTATTAAGTGTGTAGTGTGAGTGAAGGAGTCCAAATCTGCAACTGATTTCAAACAGCTTAAATAAGGAAGAGGTAAATTGGGCATATAGTTAAGGGGAAAAAAAGAAAGCTTGGAAGAAGGGAAGTAACACAGTAGGATAGAGTAAGATTTTACTGTCACGGTATCGCTCATGCAAGGGTTTTACCCACAATAGGCATGCACAGAACTTCACTGGCTACACAGCCAGCCACTTGAGAAAAAACTCCGAGGCTGACAAAGCACTCAGATTTTTTACTTAATGCTGAACCAGCTACTACAGTTATGTTTCTTTTCTCATTTTAATACCTCTTTTTCAGCCTCCAAGTCTGTAGCTGTCCATGGTATCACACTACTCCCCTCCCTTTCCACCCCAAGTTCACGAAGGTCTAAATCTGTTTCGCATTTTTTGAAAGATGCTTCTCCAG